GAGAGAGAGAGAGAGAGAGAGATAGAGAGATGTGATGTGATTATTACCATCTTGTCTTTGGGCAACTCTTTGATCAACTCTTCATTCTTCTGGTACTTAGGTTTCAACCCTTTCTTTTCCTTCTCGGTGTTGGAGTCAATACAGTCTAACCACCGGTCCTTTAAATTATTGCACTTTCCTTTGCGTTCCTCATTACAGGGATGTTCTTTCTTGAATATCTCCTTACGACACGTTAATATCGGATCTTTACCCTAATGGTAGCAGTGATTTAATAACCAATTAGTATATTTCAAATTAGTCATGATATAAAATTTATTACTTACAAATTGCCACGGGGTCATCCCGTAGCACTCCTCCAGGTTTGTCAACACCAGTATTTCAAACTCTATTTAAAACCAAAATTATTTAATAAAGCTTTACTTTATGTTTATTATATTGAAATCATATTGTATCAAGAGTTTTACAAGAGTTTACAATAGTTAATGTGTCCCGTATCAATTTTAAATTTCAATATACCAACCCATAGGGCAGCAACTTTTTGTAACCAATTTATTGGTCTCGTCTTCAATTTCTTTATCCATATTCTTCCCGGGCTTTGAAAAACTCCATTCAAAACAATTGCATAATAAATAAAGGGTTAATAATGTTTTGACAAAATCTGGAAACATGGTACTTAAATTTTTAAAATAAAACTTTTGACTACAATTAATAACTTTAATTATTAAATTTTAGTGCATTTGGGAACTAATAATATATTTTTAAAATTCGTATGAAATCTTGTGTTTCATATGAATAAATAAATGTTTTTAATACATTGTTCAATTACAATTGTGATATAATTATTTAATTGCCATATCTCGTGTTATGTACCATGATTTTTATTTTATTTACATTCTTAATTGGTTTTAGTTAAGTAAATGAAAAGTTATGTCAGGTACATTATTAATTATATTGAAATTGTTATATTTTTACAATTAAATTTAATGATTTAGTTTACCTTAAAATTACTATATACATTAAAAAATAATCCAATTAAAATTAATCAATCAATAACAAGTTTGTAAGTTTATATAAACCTAACTTATTCTATTTAAGTATTTTATCATTATAATATATTTTGACATAACAATTTAATAATCTCACATACATTTTTCATTAAGAACCTTAGCGAGCACAAACTGCTTAGGTACGGTCATTTGTATAAGTGATCCTGTTAAATGTAGACTAATAATCTATTATAATGCTTACACTTTCATTAATAAAGATTAACATTACACAATATTTGGGAATTAATACACATGTTAAATAATTAAAAAAATTATAAAAACAAATGTTTCTATTAAATACTAGCATTAAGTTATAAATTTATTAATTATGAGTGTATTAAAAATAGCCACGGTCTTTATAAACATATACTTTCTAAATGCGGTTGGTAAGTGTTTAAAACAAAACATGATAGTGTATTATAATTTACAAAAAATTGTAATTAAAAATGACCTTATTAAAATAGTTGTGGTGCCAACAATCAAGCTCAACACTGGTTATGAGGTGCCGGTACTCGGGTTGGGCACCTATAACGACACGAGCCAAGTGATGATCGACACCATACAGTCGGCTATCGCTATCGGGTACCGACACATCGACACCGCCGAGCTGTACGGCAACGAACAGGACATCGGCAAAGGGCTGGCGCTGGCCATAGCGTCGGGTGCAGTCAAACGCGCCGACGTATTCATCACCACAAAGATAACGCCCGAGAAGAAGGACCGCAAACTGGCTCTGGAAGCCGTGCGGGTAGCGCTAGGCAAACTACAGACTACTTACGTTGACTTAATGCTAATACATTGGCCGGCGGGCAATGTGTCCGACATATACGCCGGTCTGGAGGACGCCGTGGACCAGAAGTTGGTCCGCTCGATAGGTGTGTCCAACTTTGACGCGCCCGCCCTTCAGGCGCTGCTCAAGACAGCCCGTGTGAAGCCCGCTATGAATCAGATTGAGATCCACCCGAACACCAATCAGGACGAGACTGTGGCCCTGTGCCAGAAGGAGGGGGTGGCGGTCACCGGGTACTCACCCCTGGGCACCGGCTCTTTGCTCAAAGAGCCCCATTTGGTAGCTATCAGTAAAGCTCACACCAGGTCTGCGGCTCAGGTGGCCCTCCGCTGGCAAATACAGAGGGGTTTGGTTACGATCCCTAAGACTACACATAAGGATAGGCTCAACGAAAATATTAATGTTTTTGACTTTAAGTTAACCGATAGTGAGATGAAGACTATTCACGACATTAAGAAGTAAATGACTTATTATTGAAATGTTTTTGTGTTTGATTTTTTAATAAGTTGGATTTATTTTGGTTTTAATAATGTTTAAAACATGTATTTTTATTAGAAATAAAATTGATTCATTAATTATAAAACCATACTATTTTTAATAGAAATGTATAACATATTATGGTTTGATATAAACGAATAATAAAACAAGAAAATTAATATTATTACACAAATAAAATTGTATTTAAAAATAATTATGTGTTTAATTACTGTTAGTAAAGTTATAAAATGTTACAGTATTAAAATATTTTTTAAATTATTCCATAAAATAATAATTGTTATCATTATTAATAGAATAATAATTGTTATCATTATTAATAGAATAATAATTGTTATCAATAGGGTAACAATTATTGGCAATAGGATAATAATTGTTATCATTATTAATAAAATAATAATTGTTATCAATAGGGTAATAATTATTGGCAATAGGATAATAATTGTTATCAATAGGATAATAATGGTTGGCAATAGGATACCTATTGAGGCTTAGACGACCCGTTTGCCAATATGGTGAGACATTTCGGGCACGGCGTGAGTTGGCTCGAGTATGACGTTGATGTCCGGCCAGCGATTGGCGACTGTGGCCAACACTAATGGGCAATGGTTGTAGTGGTGGTGGCAAAGTAGACGGGCCCGACGTTGAGTCAATTTTTGCCATCCTATCGCTCAAAATCTTGCACTTATTCCGCGACTCGTCCATCGCCTGCCGCAACTGTTGGACACAATTGTGAGCAACGATACTATTGCCCAGAGTTAGGCCGCATGCGGCGCATAGTCTGTATTGACATTGGGCCAAATGGGCGGCCAGTAGTCCGATCTCGATCACAGTTTGACAGCCATTATCTGCAAAATCACATCTAATTTTCTGTTTACCAATAATATTATTAATGCAAACATTGGTTTTGAACTGAAATTTATGATTTCTCGCATTTTTGGTCACTTTCTGGTGTCGGCGACATTGCGGACATACTATGGAACCAGTGGTTCTTCGGACGTTAATCACTAATCCCTGGACACAGCCATTGCAAAAAGTGTGGCCACAACCCAAAGTCACCGGTTTAGACATAATGTTTAGACATATACTACATGTCAACTCTTGGGTTAACCATTCCTCCACATCAACCATACGGTTCACATCAAAGCCCGACATTTCATATAATATATTCATACAATAAATACAAAATTATTTATAAAAAATCACTTTTATTTCAAATTATTTTTAAATTAAAGACACTTTACTATAGAATGGATTAAATAAAAATGTGATAATTATGTGAAAAAAAGAGGGAAGGGATAGCATAGAGTTTAGATTATATCTACTGATAATCAATCACTAAAAGTACATTATATTTGCCATACAATCACTTGAGTTATAAGTTTTGCTCACATTATCATTGGAATTCATTTTAACCTTTAAGTAAAAATATTATTTAGTAGTTTTAATTTAATACCATGTGTCAGAAATGTTTAATGTTATCAAGTCTTATTTACTTTTGAATTATTAACAAGCATTTATTATTTAATAGTAAACATTCAAAAATACATTAACAGTTGAGGTATTTTCCAATAAATTAATTTTATAAAATACATTAAAAGTAATTTAATAATAAAGTGATAAGTAGTGCATACATTCGCATAGTTTAAATTGATTTCTAAAATTACATAGATTTTATTTTTTATTTGTACTTAATATTATTGTACTTGATATTTATTTGCATTTGATATGCATTTGATGTACTTTGATTAAAACTATTCACGAGATTAAGAAATAAATGATTTAATATTGAGATGTTTTAATGTTTGATTTTTTTAAATAATTTGGATTTATTTTCGTTTTAATAACATTTAAAACATGTATTTTTATTAGAATTAATATAATGATATTTTCATGTAATAATGAGAACACAATTTATTCAATTTACTATTTAATATAAAATATTAATTATTAAAATAAACATCAAAATTATTAGTATCATTATATTTAAAAAACATTATTGTAGGTAAAATTAATTCACTAATAATAAAATCATATTATTTATGATAACAAAGTTTAATACATTATGGTTTGATGTAAACTAATAATAAAACAAGAAAGTTAATAATATTACACAAATAAAATTGTATTTAAAAATAATTTTGTGCTTAATTAGTTAATTAAGGTATAAAATATTACAGAATTAAAATATTGTTTTATTTATTCCATAGAATCGTAATGGTTGGCAAAATTATACGGCAATTGCAATAGGCCTAGACCTAGACGACCCGATTGACTATGTGGCGAGACATTAGGGGCACGGGATGGGTTGGCTCGAGTATGACGTTGATGTCCGGTCAGCGATGGGCCATTGCAAACAACACTCATGTGCAGTGGTTGTAGTGGTGGTGGCAAAGTAGACGGGCCCGACATTGATTCAATAGTTG